ACACTCCATTACCACTCCATTACCCGCATCAGACCACCTGTCCATCTTGGGTGTCACGTTTTCTCAAAACTTGAATTTTTCCGCACCTCTTGCCGGCGTTATCGCGAAGTCCCGCAGGACGCTTGGCTTCATCACCCGCGTCGCAAGGCCAGGTAGGCCGGCGGTCCTGCAGGCACTGTATACATCCTTAGTCCTGCCTTCATTGGAATACTGCTCTGCAGTTTGGTCTCCCCCTCAACAACACCTAATCGAGAGACTGGAGAGTGTGCGGCGCCGCAAAACCCGCAAAATCTGTGCCTGGTCCCCTGGCACGACCAACGTGCCGCACCACACACGGCTCAGAACCCTTGGTTGGCGGCCCCTCGATCAGAGACGGCGGATTTCTCGAGTTTGCGTGCTGTGCCGATTGCTTGACGGATCTCTTTCGGGGACTCGCTTATCGGCAGCTGTACGTCTCGGTAGAAGATCAGGTCAGCCCGAACTTCTTCGAGGCAGGACTGTTCGTCACACCGAATCCCTGCTGCCTACCGCCATTAGAGACTTTTTGACCATACCATTAGCTTCTCGTAGCCCTCTGCCCACATCACACGATGAATCCCGGGAACTTTGCAAGGTATTCGCTAGACTAATGCCTTCGCGTCTGCTGCCATCATGATCTTCACTCCCTCACCCCCTCTTCCTCTTGAATCATAATCATCACCATCGCCATCGTCATCACCACCACCTCCATCATCACTTCCATCATAATTTTAACGCTTCTAAAGCTGGGTAGTGCTATAACTCCCAACGCACATGGCGGCAGGCTGGCAGACGCACAGGCGTAAGGGTTTTTGCCTATCTGCTTTGCCTGGCACGCCGCCGTGTGCGCACCAATTTAAGTGCAAATAAATCACTCACTCACTCACTCAGCCGATGTACTAGCCGAGTTCACAGCCGCAGCCGAAACGATTAAATCTGGTAGCATTGCTATAGCTGGTGATTTTAATTTGCCCGATCTTAACTGGCACCAACCAAGCACACACTTTGGAGTAACTCGTAGGCTCACTGCAGTAATGTATGATTTTATCAACTTGTTTTCATTGACTCAAACAGCGCTAGAGCCTACTCGAGAGTACCACATATTAGACCTTTTCCTCACAAACAAACCGGATTTGGTGCAAACTACATTAGTAATTCCGGGAATCAGCAATCACAACGCTGTCCTTTGTGAAATATTGGATCACATAAAAATGTAGAATGAAAGCAATTGACATACTTTTAATTACAGTAAAGCTAATATTACCGCAATAAATGCTGAACTAGATGCTTATTTTGTTGTTTTTTAAACGTTTGCTGAATCATGTTCTATAGCTGAATTATGGACACTATTTAAGACAAAAGCTTTGGAATTGCAAGACCGCTTTGTTCCCTCTTGGATTTTAACTGAGGCGTAATAATAGCAAACCTTTGTTTACAAAACAACTACGAAACTTGACCCAAAGAAAACAAAGAATTTAATGGGCCTATAAGAACAACCCGTTGCTTGAAAATATCATCAAACTAAAAACGATAACCAGTAATCTAAAAACGAAAATAGAACAAGCAAACTCAGTTTTCTTCGAGACATTCCAAACTAAAGTTAAAGAAAATCCTAAATAACTTTGGAAATACATAAAGAGGAATAAAAAAGATAATGTATCTACTCCTGCCCTCGTGAAATGTGACGATATGGTCACTGATGCTGGTGACAAAGCTGAATGTTTTAACACTTGCTTTAGGTCTGTATTTTCCTTACCTGTTATAAATAACAACACTGCAGATGACCTCGCTCTGGCGGATGTATCGCTCATGGAAGATATCTTCTTTGATGCTCTTAGGATAGAAGTTTTATTGGAGGGCTTAAGCGCTTCAAAGGCTGCTGGCCCTGGCTGTATACCAACTGCTTTACTGAAATCCTGCTTACGATCAATGTCCCCATATTTAAAATTACCATTTACAAAGTCACTAAATTATTGCTCGCTCCCTGATGATTGGAAGATAGCGTCTGTAATCCCAACTATAAATCTGAGCTTCGCAACAGTGTCTCAAATTTGTGTCCCATTTCCTAAACGTCCCTTTGCTGTAAAATTCTTGAACACATCCTGTACATGTCTATTTCCAAACACATGCATATTCCTTCTTTGTTTAATCAGAAACGGCATGGCTTTCGAAAGGGGTTGTCCTGCGTCACACAATTAACGGAATTTTCTCACAATATAGCTGAAGCGCTGGATAGCCATTCAACAGTCGAGTGTATTTTCTTGAATTTCAAAAAACCTTTTGATGTGGTACCTCACGTGTTATTAGTTGAAAAATTGTGGCTTTATAATATCAACCCTTGTGTTACCTCCTGGGTTTCCAAACACCTACGCGCAAGATGGTACGTGATGGTAAATAGCACAAAATCGAGTATTTCTGATGTAGCATCCGGGGTTCCGCAAGGGTCGGTTTTGGGGCCTTTACTCTTCTTACTTTATATCAATGATATCTCGGAGTCCGTTACATCATGTATGCGAATGTTTGCAGACGATTGCTTATTACATAGAAAAGTTAATTGTAAATTTGATAGTCTTATCCTTCAAAAAGCTTTAATGCAATACAAACTTGGTGAAAAATGGTGGATGAATCTTAATTTGGATAAAACTGCATGCATGATATTTTCCAGAAGAAAAACAGTGAGCGAATTCCGTTATGAAATAAACAATATTAATCTAAAAGTGGTTTCTGAGTTTAAATATTTAGGCATTTTCTTTACATTTTCATTACATTGGAGTCGACATGTCGATTATACTGTGGCAAAGGCTTCAAAATCTTTGGGTTTTCTTTGCAGAAATATGCGCAACTTTCCTCAAGTCACCCGGGAGCTGTTGTATAAAACAAATGTGTTATCTATTTTAGAATATGCCTGCACTGTGTGGGACCCGCCGACTATCACCGATAGAGATAAACTAGAAAGAGTGCAAAACTTTGTGGCCCGCTATGTATAGGGGAGGTCAGTAAAAGATAGATTTTAGTGCATCACATGCAAAACAGACCCTATAATGGGATACACTCGAATACCGTAGAGCAAAGCTTCAATTGAAGTTTTTTCACAGCATATATCATTCCCAAACCGAAATCCCACAAGACCCCTATCTTTTTTCGCCAAGTTATCAATCTGCCCGACTGGATCACGTTTATATGGTTCGTGAGTACAGATGTAGGACTACAGTTTTAGTAGTGCTTTCTTTCCGAAAACAATTTGCCAATGGAACTGGTTACCTTCTGCCGTAGTATCAATTTTGTCAAACGATGCCTCTTATTCTGCCCTGGAATCAGTCAAGTTGCTAAAATAAAAGTTATGTAATGTGTGTCACAGATTCAAGATCTGCTTTGATGTACATAAACTATCCCGTTGTTATTTGTTGATATACAGTGATGCTGTGTGTCGCAAGGTTGGGATTTGCTTCCATGTATATAAGTACTCTTGCCGTCATTTAACCCAACTGTACTTCACAAAAAGCGTGCTTGTGTGTATTCAAGTAATGTTTGGCGTATGTAACCGACCCCCCCAAAGCCGAAAGGCGCTGCGGGTATTGGATAAATAAAAATAAATAAGAATGTGACCTCCACGGCTTCATCAGCAAGATTTATGAAGAGACAGCAAGAAATGGTCTGACTCAATCCTCCAGATTATGCAACAATAAAGAAGCTTCTGATTCAGTAGCATTGTGTGTGAGTATGCTTGTGTTGTAGTTGTGTCCGTATGTGCTAGTGTAACATGCATATTCAAATGCAATATTGTTTCATGGCAGCTTTAAGGATTCGTTGCATGAAAGACCTGTCATGCACCATTTTAGACTCTGCTGAGCTGTGCTGCCTATCGATAAGGGCTGTGACAGACATGTATGCAGTGCCCACGGACAATTATTAATGTTGATCCTATTATCTCCTTGCCTTGGGAAGTGGGCTATTGGGACAGAAAGTAAAGGCCAGGAAGATAACAGGCAAGGCCCGAAGCAAAGTGCAAGCGCAAATCGACACAGAACTCAGCGTGCATACTTTCATGCTTTGCCACCCCCATTGACGCGAAGACAGTAGGGCAACATCATGCACCGCCTGTATTTTTAGGGGTGTGAAAACTGTGGTGTGAATCAAATAGTGCTGAATCCTTATTGTCCCTCACAAAGCAAGGAAAAGCCAAGTCATTTACCAACCTTCTCTGCAGTGTTGAAGCTAGGAATGACACTGTGCTATTCAATCTGAATAGCACAGTGTCACATGGCTTGCATGTAATAATATTGCACCGTATCAATGGTTGAAATTCCACCTGTTCTTGTTGAGGGAAATAAATTTGGTGGTACAAAATATACGCTGCAGAAAGTATGTGCACAGCAGAAAGGTCTTTTACACTGGGCGCTGTTGCGACGTTTGCGCAAGCCATGAATTTCCATGCTCCTACAAGTTTGCCATTTGTACATATTCATTGTAGTATGTTACTAGATACCTTGCCTCAAAGCCCCGTGATATGAGCTACTCGCCTCTGAGGCACTGTGGCCCTTCTGAGTCAAAATAAATGTTATTCTTAATTTTACTAAATTTCCTGGAATTTTTTTTTAACTTGCTTTGCAATAATGCACAATGCTGAGGAATGCTTCTTTAGTGTACTCCATTTTTTTTTAGGATATAAAAAGGGGGATATTTTACTCCAGCATGAACCAGGGTAAAAGGCAGTGATTTCACGAGGCAGAGATACTGGATGCTTCAGAAATCGCCTGCGTGGGATGTTTTGGTACAAGTTGCGCGTGAGCGCGGCATGATCGAGCGCGAGCCGTCTAGGGTGTTCAGTAGCTCGAGTGCTAGCGCAATGCCTCTATCTGGGAAAAAAGGTTGGTTGTGCATACTTTAATTGTCAAAAGAGCATTAATTACACGCTCTTTTTTTCAAAAAAATTTTTCGTGCCACATTTCAGCAGGCAGGCAGTGTTAGAGATTGCTACTTACTGTTGGTGTGGTGAATAACACAGGAACCGGGAGGAGCTCCGAGCTGCGAAAGATGTAACAAAAGGGTGAGTCATGTAACCAGTGGAGATCGGCGAGTTACAGACGCAACGTCGGGGTCGTCACAACGAATCTCGTTCCCGAGATTGTAACTAGGAACTTGACAAGCCATCAGATCGTGCAACGTTTCGCCAACATATCGAGACAGTACCGAACAGTGGACCACTTACCATAAATGAACAGTCCGTCTGGGGAAATTCTATGCTCTTATTACAAAACGTTATGTTATACGGGGGGGAGATACGAGTTTCCGAGATTCCGATGAAAGTTAAGAACAGTAGTGAAACGCCTGCCCAAAAGCAGGTCATTTTCCCGGTGTTCACGAAGCTTCCGCGCGAGCGTCTCGAGTCCAAAGAAGCCATAAATAACCGTTACATCTGATAACAGTCTCGGACTTCAGCTTGGACCACAGTGAGCAAGACCAGCAAGACTCCGGACTCCGTCACTCCGTACTGTCCGTACCTCCGCACAACAACTGTAACCACGTGACCACTGCTCAATTTTGCTTTCCACATTGGTTCATTATTATAACTGGGCTTATTTTTTTTTTAAATAATGCCCTTGACATACTCAATTAATTTTATTGCAATTCTGTTTAACCTCGTTTTTTTTTCTTGTTTACACCTTCAGTTGTCGCCATCCGGCTTGAGGGGCGCTGTGTATGCACGATTACCGCAAGGGGCCTTGAGTGGGGCCACTGGATGTGATTTCACTGACGAGAGCAAAAACGAGAGTATCGAAATTTGTCGAAGTTCTGTGCGGCGAAATTACAGTGTACTAGAATACTTGGGTAGTGTTGGGACCACTGATCTCAATGACAATTGCTGGATCGCGCTTCCCCGCTTGTTCGCTGCAGCGCAAGTGAAGCCACCGGGCTTCACTCGCTTGGGATACGATTTGCCGTTTTTGCTAGCCTTTGCTGCGGTTTTCCAGCGTGCTGACGACACGTTTTCTACTCGTTCGTCGTCATTCGCCGAAGAAGTTTTTTGAAGACTCTGTGTATTGTTGAGACTTTCCGTTGTGAACACGTGGAAAATTTTACGAAAGTGCAGTGTCGCAGGAAAAAGGAACAACGCGTCGAAAGGAAGGGCTGGCGGCGTGTTCAAAGCATCCTTGGCACGCCGAAGTGCCGTGTCTCTGTGCCTTCGCACGCTTGGATACCGACCAAGAACCGACGCCGTGTGTATGTGTTCAGCGAGTGCAATGTGCGTGAAGCTGTTCGTGCCTCTGGATCAGCGTCTTTTCCCCTCGCGGTTTAGGAACAAGCTTAATCCAGCGTCCACTAGCGACGGAGGATGGGGAGAAGGTACGTCTTTTTTTCGTCCTTAGACGATTTACACAATACCGTGCACAACAGCTCCTCATCACTGATCAGTGCTGGCTTATTATCAACCTACGCGACTCGCCTAATTGTAATTGGTCAACAGATTGCACACGACCATATCGGCCGCGCTTCAAAGATTTTCATTCTCGCCGTCTTGTACTTTTGCTTTCGAAAACCCCCCTGGCTCCACGTACAACGTTGCCCTATTCGTGCTCCCACGGAATCTATTAGAGTAGATTTGGGACATAGCCATGGTTAATATAGAACATAAGAATACGTACAGATCTCCCTCTTTGATTGATAGCAACTCACCGGAACAGCTGGACGATCCAGAACTCCGTGGCCGATATATATAAATGATCTAAAGGCATCTACGCGCGACACACGTTCAGAACTTTGGCGCGGCGTCAATTCTTGACCGGTATCCAAGCGTGCGAAGGCACAAAGATGCATCACTCAGCGTGCCAAGGAAGCTTTGATCACGCCGCGACACCGGCGACACGTTTTCGACGAGTTGTACCTTTTGATACGGCTTCACGCGCATTGCACTCGCTAAACACATTCACACGGCGTCGGTTCTTGGTCGGTATCCAAGCGCGCGAAGGCACAGAGACACGGCACTTCGGCGTGCCAAGGATGCTTTGAACACGCCGCCAGCCCTTCCTTTCGACGCGTTGTGCCTTTTTCCTGCGACACTGCACTTTCGTAAAATTTTCCACGTGTTCACAACGGAAAGTCTCAACAATACACAGAGTCTTCAAAAAACTTCTTCGGCGAATGACGACGAACGAGTAGAAAACGTGTCGTCAGCACGCTGGAAAACCGCAGCAAAGGCTAGCAAAAACGGCAAATCGTATCCCAAGCGAGTGACGCCCGGTGGCTTCACTTGCGGGAGCGGCAAGCGCGATCCAGCAATTGTCATTGAGATCAGTGGTTGGGACCACTGATCTGTTGGGACCGCAGGGGCCATAGGGAGGGGCTCGCCTGAAGCGCGTTGTATTGATCGCGACAGGTGTCGACACCGGCGCGTTATCCAGAAGGTGTGCGCACGCGCGGCTGCACGCGCGAAAATAGGAATCTTTGGTGCCGCTTTGGTGGAGTGCACATAGGATTTCTGAAACAGCTACGACCTGCCAGCGGTCGTACCGCGGCATCAATTACGCTGCGGCACGATCGTTAGCAGCATGATGCTTCAATGTATTGGACGGTACAAGCTACATTACCCTTCCTTTAGATAAAAAAAACAAAACAATTACGACTTTAAATAAGCGGATTGCAAGTTGTTTCAGCGTAGAATGACTTTCGGTTTGTCGAATGGTAAGTCCGAGATTGTTTTAGTATGTTTTTAACACCCAAGATTAACTTCTCTGTCTTCTTTTCTGTCCGCCTTCTTTTTCTTGACCTTAATCAGCTCACTTCACTTGACTAGTATCATTCTTGTGTTCATTTAGGCGACGAACCAGCCAAGCGACAGTCACAGAGGGGTGAGAGTCTTTTATTTCTTCGTGGCTGCCACGACCATCCGAGGACCACCCGACGTTCACTTGTAAGAAATGGCTTATAAGCCGTGACAATTTTTATCACGCGTTTGAACATTGAACTTAAGTCCACAAACTGAGACAACGTGGGATGAACAAGTAATGCTTTATAAGATTAATTTCATTTCATTTATTTCATTTAATTTATTTTCACCTTAAGGGCCCGGTTAGGGCATTACATAAGGGGGGGGGGGGGCAGTAGAACGAAGAATGCAATAGCAGACGCAGTAGTAGAATAATAACAGTAATTACAGGGTGTCACAAAAGAAAATTTACACGGTCTTTTTTACCGCAAAAATAAACTACGCATCGCCGAACGCTCATTCTCCGTCCAAAGGTAGCGCTAGAGGTTACAACCAGATGCCAAAGCTTCAGCCCGATCCGATAACTTAATCAAAAGTTATAAGTGATTTTCTGAAAATTTCAATGGGAAAATGGCGGCCGACGGAGTTTTCAAACACATGGGGCTCTATGGCACCAGAAACCGAAAACTGGCAAAAATGGGCTCCATTTTCCCATTGAAATTTTCAGAAAATCACATAATTTTTGATTAAGTTATCGGATCAGTCTGAAATTTTGGCATCTGGAACTTGTGACCTCTAGCGCTAGCTTTGGGCGGAGAATGAACGTTCGGCAATGCCTAGTTTATTTTTGCGGTAAAAAAGACCGTGTAAATTTTCTTTTGTGACACCCTGTATAAACAAGAACATGAGAAATTATAGATAATGGGCTAGTAGATTATCGTAAAACACTGTTCCATCAGGGGTGCTGACGATGGAGGATGGCAACTGGTTCCACTGTGTGGAACCAGTTGATGTGAAATAGCTGCTTGTGATGTGAAATGATGTGAAATAGCTGCTTGTTCAAAGAAAACAAGCAGCTATCTCTCATCATTTTGAGCAGAAAACATGAGCACACGTAGATCAGGCAAGGAAAAAGTTATATTAGTTTACAGCACGGCATTGAAACAATGGTTACAATGTGCAGCACAAACATGGTGTTATCCTCTTGAGGGTAAACCACTTGAAACCCACACGCTCATAACAATACATTTAACCGACAGCTGCTCTCTGACAACCCGGTGAGTCTCGCCTGAGCTGGGTATTCGAAGGGAAAGACCATAGCCTCCTCTATGGAAAGACCCATGGTTCCACAGGGGGCTTATCTGGTTCACGCAGACATACAGGTTGTTTTTGTTTTATTCTTTACAGAACTTAACATATTTTACAAAAAAAAAAAAGAAAAAAACGATGTGGCAGATATGTGGATGCCGTCTTTCGTTATATCTGTAGTGCTCGGTGGACCATAAATGGGTGAATAACCGTTTGCAATGTTTAATAATTAACCAAAATCTGTTAGTTAACTTGTTTATTAACGGCTTAATTGGCCATGGTGCAATTGCAGTTTTAAAAAGAGTCATTATTAAAGGCAAGCACAATTTCGACAATTCGCGAAAAGGCAATGAGGTTCGCGAAATTTATCGTAAAAGTTTGCCTTTCTTCGCTTGATTCAGAAACCGCGTTATGAAAATAATACATAGAATATTGACTCTGTCTTGATGTGTGGCGCCGGCGAGTCCACCGAAGACGCGCTGTTGACTTTTAGTGACGAGGGGACAGAAACAACGGTTTTCAGCGATGAATATCTCAAAGCCCGGTGTTTGTTCGCGAACTTTCTAGATAGGGTTGGCCTTTAATAATGGCTCCCTTTAAAGCTGCAATTGCAACATGGCCTATTAAACCGCTCACTAAAAATATAATTACCACATTCGGCTAAGTAATCAAAATATTGCAACGGTTATTCACCCATGTAGGGTCCGCCGAGATCTACAGATGTACAGTGCAGACGACATACACGTATCTACTACCTACTTTTAATTAATTATGCAAAGCTCTGTTAAAAATTAAAAGAAAATCCTCCATAAGCATAAACACAATATTGTACAGGCCTTGGACTTAACCATTTCCTTTTTTTCGATTATGGGAGTAAGAAGGTTTTAAGTTGGTTGTTTTGAAACTCAGATAACAAAATCTGATATTCCGCTGGCACCCTTGGGCTTGCAACGTATTGATATAGGTTATCGTTCAGTGCACAAAAACTTTCTACAAAAGCTTCCCAATCAAACAAGTGTAAAATGACAAGAATTAAACGCATCTTATTGCATAATCAGCAAACAGGAGCAAGCCAAGAACTGTTCGAGGCGGGGTTTAGGCCGCACGTCCGGAGGCTTCCTGTCTCGTGACGACGTCCAATCCCCGAAGTGAAGAACCCAGGGGTTCAGTGGAGGTGGGAGACTTGGTAACGTAACGAACGGTTTAATTATATGGTAGCGATACAGTCGTCAAATTCGAGAGAACAACGGAGCAGCCTCGCGCTCCGCCTTATATAGGGTCCGTTTCTCCCTCACTCCCAGCCAGGGCAGCCAGTGCGATGCAGCAACCCGTCGTCCAGTGTGACGTAGTCAAAGTTCTCAGCAGTTAGGCCATGCCTCTCTCCCTTTCCCGAGCGCACCAACCACCACGCACACACACACACGTCCCGCTAACGTCACGGGCGCGTTGAGACTTGTTGCCGCAGGCCCCGTCACGCAG